CTGATTTGCAGGTATAATCGAATGTATTACACATGTGATAGTATTCTTTTTTTTAGTGCTATAAATAAACAATGCATTAACAGAACCTAGCCTATAATAAAATCCGATCCGAGATATGTATTATAGAAAATGTATAAGAATTGGCTTTTAATTGTTTTTTTTTAACTTCACCTTAATTTTTTTAAGAATATCTTCCTTTAACTATTGTTTTCTAATGAAATCTAATTGACTTTTTGTTGATTTGTCATCGATAATGAGCAGAAAAAGTATAGCTCAACAACTAAGAAGTGTATATAAGAGAGAGTTATACAAAACTGAACCAAGTTAAAGAGTTATTGTGCAATGAGAAGAGAGCGAGAACAGCAAGAAAATTCTACAAATTCAACAAATAAGAGATCTTTAGTACAGCAAGCGAGAAGAGAGTATGAATGAATTAAAAGAGCACATATTCAAACAAATATTGAAGTTGCTTAATAATATCAACAAAATAATGTAAGACACTACCTCAGCCGAATAGATTTAGAGTGTAGATTTTGTGAGGCCTTTTATTGGCTAGAAGAGTAGCTTAAAGTTTCTTCAAAGACTAACCCCAAGTTCGGAAAATGCTGTAAACAAGAGAAAATTGTTCTTCCTTCTCTTCAAGATCTACCACTATCATTACATCAGCTTTTTGAAGGTCAAGACAAACAAAGCATAGACTTTCATGTGAACATACGCCAGTACAATGCAGCATATACCTTTACTTTGTTAGGTGCAACTATAGATCAAACTGTCTTGAATGGATGTACACTATATTGCTTTTGCATATATGGTGAATTGTGCTACTGTTCAGACTCACTCCTTCCTGAGACTAACAAGAATAATGCAAATTATATACAACTCTACATTTATGATCCTGATAGTGCACACCAAATAAGGATAGAGAGAAATACTAATTTATGTGTGCAGACTATGTGGAAAATTCAGCAAATTCTGCGAGAATATCATACATTTTACCCCAAGTATCAACAAGCTTATGAAATTCTATATCAGGCATGTGAAGAGGGCACTTGCGAAATTGATTTAGCTGTTCTTCTTCATTGTAATGCAACAACAGATCACTGTTGCTACAATCTTTCTACTTCTAATAAAATTGCTATTATTTTACCTGGTGATGGTACTACACCAGAAGAAATGCACAATATTATATTTCATTTGTGGGATGGGCCACTCGAATGTATTTATAAAGGAAATCCAGCTTATTTACCTTTACATTATATTCTTTTTTTTCCTTATAGTGAGCTTGGATAGCACGCAGATTTGTGTCAAGTTGTATTTGACGAACATGGACAACCAATTGAAGATCCAAGTAATGCCCCATATATTACACAAATAGACTTTTACTTATTTCATCTTTTTTCGCACTGTATAGAGTATTCAACTATTCTAAGAAGTGGAAAATTGTTTCAGGAATTCATAGTCAACACATGGGCTGCAACTGAGCAAAATTAACTACATTACTTGCATAATAATCAGAGCACCTTAAGAGCTGATATATATCAAGAGCTTTCTGATGCAATAGAAAGTACTGCAAATGATGTAATTAATTTGGCAAATCTTGGACATTGTATAATTCTTCCTTCAACACATATTGAAAGCACACGCATATGTTTGAGATTTTTTAAGATTCAATGGCAATAACATGATTTTTTTAGCATCCTGATATTTTTGGAATGATGACAGCTAATCCAAATTGGAAGAAAATTAAAAGTAAATTACTATCCAGGCAAACCTTAGTGGATAGACCTAATTTAGTAGTACGCGTATTTGAGCTTAAGTGTCGTGCTCTTCTTCATGATATTAAAAATAATAACATTCTTAAAAAAGTATTAGCATATGTATATACGATCGAATTTCAGAAGCGTGGTCTTCTCTACATGCATTTTCTAATGTTTCTTGACCGCAATGCTAAAATTAGAGAACTAGATGATGTCAACAAGATAGTATGCGCAGAATTTCCTAATCAAAAGTCAGATCTATTGCTTTTTGATACTATCTTTTATTGTATGATTAATGGGCAATGCGGTTCATGTAATTTACGAGCACCGTGTATAGAAAATAGAGATTGTAAAAAGAACTATCCTAAAAGTTTTAATAATAAAACGTGGATGTTGATAGATATCCACTTTATACAAGAAGGGAAGATGAGCGTAAATTTACCGTTAGTGGCAAGACTGTTGACAATAGAGATATGGTCTCATATAATCCTGGCTTTAGTCGAAAATACGACTACTATATAAATATTGAAATTTGTACGTTGATTAGGATATATTTTTCATCTACTATATTCTAATATAGCTTTTTTTAATACTAAAATAGCGATGATGCAAAAATTTGGCAGTCCTGTGATTAGTATCCAATTCTATTGTAAGATCACTGAGATAATGTGCATTAAAAATTAAAGTAAAAAAAAACAAGCAATCATGAAAAAACTCAAATTTGTAATAGAAAATAAGACTTTGCTTAATGTGAACATTATGTTTTGGAATCTTCATTATTAAATTAGTCACGAGATCACAAATTTCTTGTGCTATCGCCATTTCATTCGCTAGAGTTTTTTTTTTTTTTTTTATCTAATTATACTAACTATATTAATATATTATTTTGTGCTTATTTTTAAGTTTTAGTATTTTATTTATTTTAAATTATTTATTTTAAGTTGATACTTGCTGCTTTTCTTTATTTATTTTTATTAATTTATTTATTTATTTATATTTAGTTTTCATTTATCTATGTTTTATAGTTTTTCATCTCTTAATCACTAACTCTATAAACAGGCCATCAAATATATACACAAATATATTTATAAGGGTCATGACTATACTATTATGCAATTTGGACATGAACCAGATGAGATTAAACAGTTCTTTGATACAAGATACATTGGTGTGCCAGAGGCTGCATGGTGGCTATTTGGAATGCATTTGCATGAAAAAGTGCCTAATGTTGTATGATTGGCTTTACACTTTTCTGAAATATATTGAGTTGTCTATGATTTAAACGATGAGGCCGCAAAAATCCTTTTCCAAGCTGAATGTCAAAGAACAACCTTAACAGCATTTTTTGAAACTTGTGAAACTATAGAAACTGCCTGACAATACACATATCAGGAATTTTCGCAACATTTCGTGTGAAATACAAGTAGCAAAAAATAAACAGCTCGAAAAAGGAGTTTTGCTATTGGTAAAATATATTTTGCAAACTCTTTAACTAGAGAGCATTTTTATCTTTGTCTTTTACTACTAACGTTCATGGCCCACAGTCATTTGACTATTTAAGAACGGTTAATGGTGTTCAATATCTGACATTCAAAAGAGTATGCATAGCTCTTAATCTTTTAGAAAATGATAACGAGTAGAACCAATGTTTAGCAGAAGCCTCTGTTATGCGTAGTAATATACAATTGAGACAACTTTTTGCAATGATTTTGATTAAATGTTCATCAACTTACTCAGAAAAATTGTGGCAAACTTTTCATGCTAATATTTGCAATGATCTTTACTATCATTTACGTTTTAAGCATGCAATTGAAGACCCTACAGAGGATCAAGTATATGATTACAGACTGTTTCTTATTAATGAAATTTTACGCAATTTAAACCTTTCACTTGCTATATATCCTTCAATACCTCTTTGGGAACGCAACTGAGATCTTTTTGGTGAAAATCAACTTCTTGCTGAGCATTTAGTATTGAATTGTAAACAACTTTGATTATTAGTAGAAAATCAAATTCTGCTTCTAAACAATAAACAAAGTATTGCATATAATAGCATTCTAAACTCTGTAAATAATAGTTATGGCAAGCTTTTTTTTCTCAATGGCTCTGCTGAGACTGGCAAGACGTTCGTTTATAATATACTTGCAATGAAGGTTTGCAATAAAGGTAAAATCGCAATTTGTGTTGCATCATCAGGTTTTGCAGAGCTGTTACTTGATGGTGGTTGTACAGCATACTTAATGTTTAAAATTCTAATTGAAGTCGATGATGACTCTTTCTGCTCAATTGACAAAAATTCTGACTATACTACTCTTTTCCGTCAAACCGTACTCATTATTTAAGATGAAGTAATTTTACAAAATCAGAATTTTCCAGAAGCAGTTGATAAATCATTACGTAATATTTGCGATGATAATCAACCATTTGGTGGAGTTACAGTTGTATTTGGTAGCAATTTTCATCAAATTTTACTAGTTGTAGTCAAAGGTTCGAGAGAACAAATAGTTGCCACTTCTCTACGACGTTCATACTTATGAAAACATGTACAAATACACACTTTACATAAAAATATATATTTAGAGAATAAATCTGAAGAAAATAAATACTTCGCAAATTGGCTTTTGGAGATAAATAGATATTAAGATATTAGATCTAAATAAATATATTCTTATATCTTTATTTAAATTTCTTAGATTGGAAATAGCTCAAATATTTCTGATTCGCATAATATAGTTTCACTTCCTGAAGATATGAGCGTTGGCTCTGACTTACGTTTTTTTATTAGCTCAGTAAATCCTAATATAAATCTTGAAATCTTTAACGACGACTTTTTACGTAATCGAATGATTTTGTCTACTCACAATAATGACGTTCAGAATATTAATTGTGCTGTTCTTGATATCTTTTCTGGAGATAAATATATATATTTAAGTGCTGATGATGCTATAATAGAAGAAGGTGCAGATAATAACAATATATATCCTATTGAGTATTTGAATGCTCTTAACCCATCAGAAATACCATCTTCTAAGCTTGAACTCAAAATCGAATGCCTTATAATACTTCTTCAAAATATTGCATCTTATTAAGGTCTTTGTAATGGCTCTCACTTAGTTGTAGTCCATCTTTCGGATCATATTATTGAAGCATATATCCTTGGCAGAAGTTGTACTGGAAGATTAGTTTTTATCCCTCACATTACTTTAACATCATCTTCAACTAAATTACCATTTAAATTTAAAAAAAGGCAATTTCTAATTCGTGTTGCATTTACTATCACTATAAATAAATCCCAAGGACAATCATTAAAACATATTGGGCTTGATCTCAGAACTTCAGTTTTTACACACAGCCAGCTTTATGTAGCTCTTTCACGATGTATTTTACTCTGTTCAATCAAAATTCTTTTTTCAAAAGATTCAGATAACTGTACCACTTTAAATATTGTATATCTTGAAGTATTGCTACAAGATTAAGTTAATTAAAGTGACTAATAAAGTAAATACGTGTATAAGATTATTTGGGGCTTTTGCTAACAAAATGACCCTCCGAGCTATTGTTACACAAGATTTTAATTAGTAAAATCATAACAA